TCCTTTGGCATCCCTCCTTCCACTACTTAAAGAATGGGAACAATGGATAAAAGTTTCCTCAGAGAGATTCTCCTGAAATTACCGAGTTCAGCCAAGTAGGGCTTTGTAGGTGATAACCAGCTCCTTGAATTGGATCCCAAAGTAAAGTGATAACCAGGACAGTGATAGTAGCATCATTGTCACACCAATCCCTTATCACCAGTTAGCAGATGAACCACTGTATTTTAGACCAGCTAAAGCAGGGGTGTCAAACTCACAACGTCACGTGACATGTTGCGACGTATTGCAACTTTTTTTCCATTGCCGGCAATGGGGTGGGTGCGTCTGACTATGACGCATCTGGCCCGCGGGCCGGCAGTTTGACACCCCTGAGCTAAAGTATCTAAGTGTCTACAAAGATAGCCCCATTGTGATGGAACATGCATCTGCATCAGTAAAAAGGGAGGATATATCAACTCAGAACTTTCCAGGAAAAATAGCTGGATCACTGTGCAGTGCAAAGTTGGACAGCAGAGCGGGGGAAAGGTTCAGGGTAACCACACCCTAGAATCTCTCAGGATATATTTAGTAGCTTAGAAAGTTATAGCTTTAGTTTGGCAAGATTCTGTCCATTGGGTATAAGCAAATAAAAGATTAAACTTGATTGGATCTCACTGTCTTGTTCCTGGGCTTGGGTCTGACTTCCAGAGAAGGTGTTTCAATCATCTTACTACACGGAGATGCAAGCAGAAAAACAGATTGTGAAGTCAGTAAGAAGCAAACCACTAACTAGGTGTTTGGCTTTTGTGGAACAAGGTGAAGAGGTTTGTGGGTTGGTTTTATTTGTTCAGTTCCACAACTGCCCAATGACCAAGACCTGTCAGGTATAGAGGAGGGGGCACCTGTGGATAACCAGCAAGAAAAACGATCAATTGGTCAGTCTGGAGCACAATGAAAACAAGAATTGGTCAGCAAATATTTCCAGTTCAGCAGATAAACAGTGATAAGCTCATTAGGCTACAACAAAGATAGAAAACCCCCATTTCAATCTGACTTTATTTAACTTTGTATTAGCAAGAATTGGTTGTCTGAAAATAGCTTTATTCCCAATCTTATGTATATAGAAACAGAGATAAAGTGTTTTTGTTACAATAATACAAGAATTCAGAGAACAGAATTACCAATTCTCTCATATAACTATAGTTTTATTAACCAACAGGTCTATAGATATTGAAGAATGAGATATTAAGTTCTAGAGTAAATCCTTTAAACTGTCCTCCAGAATTATTGTTTTTTTGGGAAATTGGCTCTTCATAATTGCTACTTCTACCTTTCTAGGTTGGGTTCAGTTCCAATGTTTGGCTTATGCAATAAGTTATTCTTTTTTATGAATAGATTTCAAAAAAGGCTCTGTCTGCAGAAGCGTATTTCTGCTTATTTCAAATATGACAGTATTTAACTGTGTAATTGAGAACTTAAAATCTCTATGCCTATGCTCTATGATGAGCAGGCTTGTATTCACTTTTACTTAAAATGGTTTTCTTGCTCTGGAAACTAATTCTTCTGGAATTTATCTTCTCCTATATATATTTCTATATCTTTCCCCCAAAAATTCAACGTGAGCAACATCTCACCTATGTATGGCATAGGTCTGAACAATTTAGAAGGCAAAGATCCAAATGAACAATGGCAAGCAATCCAAGGTAACATCAAAGAAATTGCTGGAAAGTATGCGTCATGTCAAAAGCCAAAGAGAACAAACAAGTGGCTATTTGATGACCCCATCAAAATAGTTGATCAACGAAGAGCGGCCAAACCAAAGATAGTAAGGATGAAGTTAAAAAGCTAGATGCAATTTTCCAACATTTATCCTGAAGCCAGGAAAGACAAAAACAGGCAGTGGGAGAAGCAAGTCAATATCTGGAAGAAGCTAGCAGGAAGGGATATACTAAGGTCATGTTTGCCATTGTGGTGCAATGGTTAGAATGCAGTACTATAGGTTAATTCTGCTGCTGACTGCCAGCAGTTTGGCAGTTCAATTCTCACCAGCTCAAGACTTCCATCCTTCCGAAGTCAGTAAAATGAGGGCTCAGATTGTTGGGGGCAATATGCTGACTTTGTAAACCACTTAGAGATGCTTCAAAACACTGTGAAGCGGTATATAAGTCTAAGTGCTATTAATTTTGTGACTACAACGCCCATATTATATCTTTGTATTTATTTTTCCAACATCTCAAATGTTGTGCAAAGTCAGGTTAATCAAATGTCCAAGGAGATTTGCCATAGAAGTGATTTCCATATTCATAATCTCTATTCACTGGAGTCTATTTTGATCTCTCTTACAACCACTCTTTATCTTCTCCCAGATGCAGCCAATATATTTTCCACTTTTTTGGTTTAGGGTAATTTGCAATATAAATAATCATATTTTGAGATTCTCATTATAGAGCTATATTTTTAAAAGGCCATCCACATTTAATGTAGATGTTGACCTGCTCTTGATCATAAATATTTCTTGCCTGCTTAAGCATTCATCTGCAGGCTCACCTTGCTAAAAAAAACCAACCCCAACTTAATATACAGTTTACTAAATCAATCTGACTAGAAACCAATTATATGGGAGAGACAGGGTGACAAGAAGTTCAAAGTAAAAGAATCTTTAAACTGTTTTTGCCTCACTAATAATTACAATGAGGCACTTGAGAGGTAAGTTTCCTATGAACTTCCTCTGTCTTATTTCAGTCTTAAAAATATTGAGTTTAGCCAGTTAATACTGGTGAAATGTTATAGTGCAAAGCCTTGATCTTCCTCACATTTCATTTAGCATAAGTGCAGACAAAGACAACAAGGCTTCCTACCCTTTCTGGTAGCAAAACTCTCTCTCTCTCTCTCTCTTTGCTTTGTTTGTATTAACAGCTAAATTAGAAGCTGTTCTGATATAATATTTTCCTGGACTCATAAGCCTGACATTAACCTGCATTAATGTTATTTTTCAAGGAAACTGAACGGTATGTACAACTTTTAAACCGCAACATCACATCAGTTTATTGCTTTTAATACTACATTCCAAAGCAAGGAAAGCCAAGTCAGAAATCTAGCCGAATTAAACAGAATTTATTCCCATGTGTGCAAAAGGCCAGACACATATGGTCAGGCCTAGAGTGTGTTTTCTCCCTTGTATCGTAAGATTGGAACACTACTGGAACTGCTCTAATTGCTGTTGAAATCTGTCTCTCTTTGCTCTCCTCTTCTTTCTTTAAATGACAAATTGCTAGATATATTTTCTTATATTTTGCATAAAATTTTACTTCTGCATGAAACAAGACTGAATCTTCCATATTACAGGTAGTCTTTGACTTACAGCAGTTCATTTAGTGACCATTCAAAGTTACAATGGCACTGAAAAAAGTGACTTATGACTGTTTTTCACACTTACAACTGTTGCAGCATCCCCGTGGTCAGCGATCAAAATTCGGATGCTTGGCAACTGGCTCATATTTGTGACAGCTGCCGTGTCCAGAGGTCATGTGATCAGCTTTTGCAAACTTCTGACAAGAAGGGTCAATGGAGAAGCCAGATTCACTTAACAACTGTGCTACTAACTCAACAACTGCAATGATTCAGTTAACAACTAAGGCATAAAATGGGGCAAAACTCATTTAACAAATGTCTCACTTAGCAATATAAATTTTGGGCTCAGTTGTGGTCATAAGTCGAGGACTACCTGTATATTGTCTTTCTAAATTGAATTTATCATTTTCCTTCATTTTTTATTTTCTTTTTTTCCTTTGATCTACTCACAAATTCTAGCACTGTTATGTGATATTGCAGTGATGGCGAACCTTTTAGAGACCGAGTGCCCAATAACTGGCCCCGCCCTCACTCCACCCTCTGCTGCGCCCTAGCTCTGTCCCTCCATCCCCCACCCCGCCTGACCACAGGGCCATTCACCAGGGCCCACCGCAGATCGCCCAGGCAGCCCAGCAGCGCTATGGCGGTCACACCCTCTGCCCATGCCCTGCAGCATCAATTGTGCACAATGGGGTGTGAGGGCAGAGTCTTGTCTATGCTGCCTGGTTGCCATGTCCTTGGCTGCGCTGCTCTGCGTGGGCCATGCTCAGGGGCGACTCTCCTTCAGGGGGGCTGCTGGAGAGGAGGGGGTTATGGAGGGAGGCGAGGCTGTGGCAACAGCACGTGTGCCCACAAAGAGGGCTCCGAGTGCAACCTCTGGCACCCGTGCCATAAGTTCACCATCACTGGGATATTGCTTACTTCCTAGGACGCAAGGGCCAGATTGGTCTAGTTGTTAAGGCATCAGGCTAGGAACTGGGAGACTGTGATTTGTAGTCCCTGTGATTTTGGCATGAAATACAGCTGGGTGACCTTGGGCTGGTCACTCTCTCTCAGCCCAGCCCACCACACAGGGTTGTTGTAGAGAAAATAAGAGTAAAAAATATTAGTATGTGTGCTGCTTTAAGTTATTTACAAAAATAATAAAGGCAAGATATAAATAAATAATGTGTAGAATTGAACTCATACATAGCCCATCTCCCCATTCTGACCTCTAGTCTTCTTTGCCATTTATGGTGACCTCCAGGACTTCGAAGACCCACTGGGGTTTGTTTGAAGGCACATATTGGACGTCTTACTGTATATTCCATTATCATACTTATTTATTGTAACAGTGGATTAAAAAAAGAGTAGGACAAGTTTTAACAACTTCTAGAATAAGGTATTGTGGCTCAAATGACATTTGATATTTGACTTGATAGCAGGAGGGCTGCTACTGGAGGGCTGCCACAAAGAAGAGGGGGGTCAACCTATTTTCCAAAGCACCAGAAGGCAAAACATGAAGCAATGGATGGAAACTAATCCAGAAGGGAAGCAACCTAGAACTAAGGATAAATTTCCTGACAGTTAGAACAATTAACCAGTAGAACGAGTTGCCTTCAGAAGTTGTGGATGCTCCATCACTGGAGGCTTTTAAGAAGAGACTGGACAGCCACTGGAATGGTATAGGGTCTCCCTTTTGAGCAGGGGATTGCACTAGAAGACCTCCAAGGTCCCTCCCAATTCTATTATTCTGTTAAATCCATGTATAGAACCTCTAATTTCCAACATAGAAGCTCAACCTCCAGAGGTATAGGTGATTTATAAGTAATTAAGATTACTTGAGTGGAATCTTTTTTTTAGTACTGTCCTAGCTTCAGCATCTGTAGTTTTTTTTTTATCTCTACCCCACTTCCAACTGAGGCTATAAGTGGGAAGCAGCGTATGGGAAATAGCCACAGTTGAGGAAAGTCAGCAGAGGAGAAGGTTTTGCTTGTAACTCTCCCCCCATCTGCAAATGCCTTTTCCTTCATTTGGTGAAGTTGGACTTTGTTTTTCCCCTCTCTATAGAAGTTGCAAAGCAGAGATGAGACCCTTTGCCAAGTCTCTCATCACATTATTATTATTTTTTTTTTAAAAAAAGTGGGAAAATTCAGAAAATCGTAGAAGCAATATGCAATGCTTGAATATGTGTGTGCATGTAAATATGTAGAACTTTTATATATGTCTATGGCTGAAAGTCCTCCTTCTGGGGCTTCTTTCTGCAAATTTTCAGTTTCTTTCCTGAATGACTTTAAGAAAGCAAATGATATTCCTACACATATTTACTGCCTATCGGCCCTCAAATCCATCTGAAAACAAGTGGAAAATAGAAGTTCTTTCCTCAGAGGGAAGTCAAAGTAAAGAAATCTGATTCATTAATCCAATTATTCTTCAGGGAATTTTATATTGCATCTTGAGAGCTATGCTTTTTCAAAAAAAAAAAAATCAATTCCTGTAAATTACAGTTGGGAGACATCTTTGCATAAAGGTAGGCAGCAGACATTAAATGAAGCGGGGAGGGGGAGGGAGCATTTGTATTCCTTTGGTGGGTAAAGAACTGGTTTTCAGGATAGCATGCTTCTCTTGGGTACCAATTAATCATAATTTTATAAAAAGGTAGTAAAGATATCCCACTAATCACCGCCATGTAATCCTTGGTTTCTTGGCCAGTTTCAAAAGCAATGGATAAGAAAAAGGGATTAGATAAAAGGACTGAGTCGGGAGGGATACTAATGAGTTTCTCCTGAATCCTCTCTCTTTCTCTCTCCCAAAGGATGTGCCAAAACACCACAGAAAGTGAAGCTGTAATGAAAGAGGAGCTAAAATCTGCTAGGAATGAATGGGGTGCTGAAATTGTTCATTGTATTCCCAGGCTTCAGTAAGCAAGTTTAACCCTTCTTCAATGGACGGGTTTGATTTGTGTACATACAGTGGTGTGCTGACGTTTCCTGTGCCTTTGGGGAATAGATCAATTGGTGCGGCCTCTGCCAAATCACGCAGCTGTGGCCGCTTCTCTTTTTTTCCTGTTCAGACTTGATGAAGGAATTTAACTCCTTTTATGCTTAGCCTTCTAGAATCTAGTTAGAAATCTGGAGGTTTTCTCGCTCCCTGCTCTTGCCTGTAAGCCTTTACCCTCAAGGGAGGAAAAGCATCTTTTGAAATGAAAATGAAGGAGGCTTTATGTTACACAGTTCAATCTTTGTAGTGTTAAGGTATGAAGGAAACTGACTGTCAGCTATTGATTCCTCAGTGCCTGAATTAAAAAGATTTCCAAGCAAACACCCAGGAAAGAAAGAACTGTGATCAGAATTTTCCCCCATGCTGAAATGTCACATCAGGACAATGAAGGATCAGTTTGACAGTTTCCAAAGGTGTTCAAGTGAATCGATGCAAGAATATGGTATCCGTGTGATTTTTTTTTAAAAAAAAAAAATTGAGGTTTTTAGAAAATACGAGTGCCCCGGATGAGCCCCTCTACTTGATTCACTCCCAAATATTCACAGATATTTTTTAAAAAAATCAAACACAAAGACAATATTGCATTTATGTCTCTACAGTAAGCTGCTGTAAATCTTTTCACTATTGATCCTACATTTTATTTACACAGCTTTGCAACCTACTCCTATATATGTTTATCTAGCAGTCCCAGTTGCTGATCTGATACTGACATATGTGGTAAATGCAAGATACATTATTAGTAGTTAGTATTCATGTGCTACTGTTAAGAGAGGAATTCTTTGTTCCATGCTTGATTAATATGATCTGCTTAAATATCAAGCAAACAACTTTCTCTTTACCTATCCCCTCCACTGGATTTTTAGCTGCTTTGCCAAGTAAAAAGTTCTGAGAAACTTAAAAACATTTCAATTGGCCTAATAAACTTGTTGCCTTTTTATAAATTTTGGGTTTGTATTATTACCAGCACAGTTTGCTTTCTCTATGTATTTTAGTGCTCTAGGAGAAGGTATTAGAAGCAAGGCAAATTCTTTCATTTTCTATTAAAATTTGTTGTGGCATGAAACATTTCAAGAAAAAAAGTTGGTTATGTAAACCCAATATATTTATATGCTTCTAGAAAACAAAGTTGACATTAACATGTTCACCAAAGATATTTTAATTGAAATTTCACAATTTTAAGGGAAGAAGTATTTTACAATTAGGAACCATTTTTTTCCTTTCCTTTTCTCTTTTAGAATAGTCCCAACTGATATTTTTGGAGAAGAGAAAGGAGAAAGAAAAAAAGAAGAAGGAAAATATGTAAAGTTGAGTAAAATTTAAGGTAGGAGTATTTTATTTGCCTTTGTGCCAAAGATCATACTTTGTCTTTCAGACAGTGACACCAATGCGACACTTTTTTCAAGAACGCAGAAATGCATGGAAGCCAAGACAAAAATATTTATTTATTTATTTATGAGATTTATATACCGCTTTAAGTGCAAGCCCTCTCTAAGCAGTGTACACCAGTAAGCAATGTATATATATATATTTACATTGCCCCCAACAATCTGGGTCCTCATTTTACCTACCCCGAAAGGATGGAAGGCTGAGTCAACCTTGAGCCGGTGAGATTTGAACCGCTGACCTGCTGAACACAGTCAGCTAAAGTGGCCTGCAGTACTGCACTCTAACTGCTGCGCCACCTCATTTAATTTTTAAAATTAGTAAATGTAAAATTAGATTGCATTAATTAATAAAATCAATCCATGTATGTTTTGTGCATGTAATTATTTCCCCACTTTTTGTCTCTTTAAAAATTATAGTTTTGAGGCAATTGATGCTCTGGGGGTTGCAATAAAGGGTCTTAAATGCTGGATGTGGCCATGGATCCAACCTAGGTATTCCAGGCTACTTTATAACATTGAACTTTGGGACCTGGAAGTATTTTAAATTGAACTTATCGGACATGTAGGATGTGGTATAATTCTAAACTGGGAGCCAGTATGGTGTAATGGTTAAGGCATCAGGCTAGGAATCAGGAGACTGTGAGTTCTAGTTCCGCCTTTGGCACAAAACTGGCTGGGTGACTTTGGGCCAATCACTTTCTCTCAACCCTAGAAAGGAAACATGGGCAAATCACTTCTGAAAAACCTTGCCAAAAAAACTGCAGGGACTGTCCAGGCAGTCTCCAAGAATCAGATACAATTGGACGGATGAAAAAATAATAATTATAAGCTATTTCTTTCCGAGCAACATCTAATATTTCTTGTAACCCTCTGCTTACTCTTTGGGGGTGTTCATTTCTTTCCTGTATTGGGAGATTATTCTCTTAACCATTAAAGCCATCCAGTCATTGTATTTCTTTGGGAGTGCTCAGATGGCTGATACATATCCAAATATTAAATGATTAAAGGTAAGAGTTAGATCCTGTGGATAAAGTAATGTTTATGCAGTCTCCCACTTCTTTCCTGGGCAGTGCCAGAACATATGGATTAAATTAGCCTGTGGCTTGTCACACTTCCAACAGAGACAATCTGTAGTCAACCTCAAGCATAAAAACTTACTCAGAGAGCAACAGTCTCAGGAAACTTCTCTTCAAAAAAGTTAAACTGTATATCAAAAGCAAACCACTTAACTGACACTAGCAAAAGATTCGACTGTCCTTTTTTGAGGTTTTCATTTTATTTTGTCAACTGTGCTTCACTACAAATAGCCCATCCTGAATCTGATAAGTATAAGGATACAGAGATTTTACAAATAATCAAATTATATATGACCTAATCAAATTTAACAAGTGAGATCTGATTTTTTTACATGTCAGTTTTAGATGAACAGATATTTGAAATGAAACTGATTTATTTGAGAACCGATGTGATGTAGCAGTTAAAATGCTGGACTGTTACTGACAATATAGAGTTCTAATTCACCCTCAGTGATAGCAGCTGTGAATTTTGGCCATTCAATCTATTAGTTCAACTACTCAGAGTGTGGTTTTATGCAAAAATAGGAGGAAGGAACATTGTTTAGACCAGCGATGGCGAACCTTTTAGAGACCGAGTGCCCAAACCGCAACCCAAACCCCATTTATTTATCACAAAGTGCCAGGGTCGCATCAGCATTGTGGTGCCCTCAGGGTTGGGGGTGGGCATGGCCCACTGTGTGGGCGTGGCAGGATTGGGGGAGAGCCAGGGGGTCTCTGGTGGGTGGGGCAGTGGGCAGGAGGCTCGTCCTGCAGGGTGAGGCAGGGGGTAGGACGGAGGTGCCATTGCTGCGGGGTGAGGCGAGGCAGGGGCGGCTGCTGCCTGATACCATCAGCCCCTGCACACAGAGGCCAGTGAGCGCATGGGGGGCATGCTCTACCACCTCTACTCAAGCTTGCTAGCCAGCTACTTCACCTCCTTTGTGCTAGGTGGGGCTGCCACTCCGGGTGCCAGCAGTGGCCTAATGGACCTGCGTGAGCTGGCAGTGATGGTGGCAGGTGTGCCCACAGAAAGGGCTCTGAGTGCCGCCTCTGGAACACGTGCCATAGGTTCGCCATCACTGGTTTAGACTGTTTGGGCTCCTGTATGGAAGGTGGTGTATGAATGATGATTGAATGTATGTGTTTATTTAAAATACGATGGCTCTACACTCCTGCTGTGCTCACTATATATTATTACCCAGTTATCTTAGCAAGAACACAATATAAAACAGTCACACAGGAAGACTGGGAAATTAAAATGAAATGAAAATTTTTCTACAGAACATAGTGAATTGCCTTGAAGAATAGAAAGACCTGCTGCCAAGGCAATGGTCAGATAAGGGGGCTTGTTTAACTATGTTAAATGTTGAAGAAAGAAATTCTGATGATGATCAGACAAAAGGTAATGTAGTAAAAAAAAATCCTTTAATCAGATTAAAAATCAAAAGCCAGATTTTTTTAAAGCATTGATAAGGAATAGTTTCATACATTATATTAAACATGGTAGAGTTGATAACATATGATAAGCCAAAAGCAAATAAATTGCATTAGTTTGGAACATTGTGGCCCTCGAGGTGAGATCCACACCCACCTTTTTGGCCTTGTGAAGGGGCCTGAAGACACGGCTGTGTTAACTGGCCTTGGACCCCAATGGGGGTGGCTAATGCATTACATACACCCCATCTTCTTTCCATGTGCATTTTGTTCTCTCTCCATCCTGGTCAATTTTATTTTAACTGAATTTTGAATTTAAATTTTAAATTTAAGATCCCACAAGTTATTGTTTAATGATTTATATTGCATTTTAATTGAATGGTTGTTAAGATGCCTAGAGTCACCTCTGGTGAGATGGGCAGCATATACCGTATTTTCTGGCATATAAGACGACTTTCTAAATCATGCAAATCATCTCCAAAGTTGAAGGTCGTCTTATACGCCCAGTCGTCTTATACGACGGAAAATATCGTATTTTCCAGCATATAAGACGACTTTCTAACCATGCAAATCTTCTCCAAAGTCAGGGGTCGTCTTATACGCCCAGTCGTCTTATACACCAGAAAATACGGTAATTTTAATAATAGATAAAAAATATAGGTTATGCTGAATGAACTTACGTCTATGTTCCTAGTCTCAGTTAGCAGCCCTGTGAAAATATTTTGAACCAACTACATTTTGCAATTATCCTTCAAACAGACTCATAAATGATGAATAGAACTTGGAGAAATGAAATAATTATAGCTAAGTTATTTTTAATACAAGAGTGGCTGAAACTGCTATATTCAGCTCTGGGAAGGTCGGGGGAGGGCATGGGAGGGTTGGGGGGGCTCGGGGAAGGGAACCATATTGTTTTGTAAAATTTAAAAATTTTCAATAAAAAAAAAAAAGAGTGGCTGAAACTGAATGTATCAATCATTGTGGCACTGGAGCCTCTTAGATCCGCAGCAAATCATTCAGGCAAGGACCAACCCCAGATTCTAGGAACACAGTGCTTTCCAGAACAAATTTCCCGTTTCCTCTCCAGTTATATAAACCCACCAGCAGCTCTTGTAATTTCCTGGAAGCAAATTTATCATTGGGTATTCTTACCAACCAACCACTTTCAGGTACTGAGCACATTCAAATGCCTTCCTGTTTCAGAGTGGAAAACAAGTTAAATCTTGGACTTGCTCCTAGCACAGGAAGATGTGATCACCTCTTCTGCCTGAAATACGGTATGTTCAATAGAGGTACAACAACAAAGATGCTGCATAAACCTTATGCAAACTTATTGGGTTACAATTGGGTTGCAATTAATTATCTATAGGATAAGTGGCTTCTCAACTTTTGTTTTAGGAATTGGGAAAAACTAGGCCTTAAATGATTGCTGCTTAATGTTGTTGGGGGATACTGCTGCTCATTTGTCCCGTTGAATCTGAGTAACTAAGAATGATCGGGTTCATTCTAAATAATTGTCTTCAAAATTTAGTAAGTCTGGATTACCAAGCAGCACAGAACAGTTTTTCCAAACTGGGTATCTTCCAGATGTATCAATCAGTCAATCAGAATAGAGCTGGAAGGGACTTTGGAGGTCTTTTAGTTCAATCCCCTACTCAAGCAGGAGACCCTATAGCATTTCAGACAGGTGGCTGTCCAATCTTTTCTTAAAAGCCTCCAGGGATGTAGGACTTAGAACTTCTGAAGGCAAGCCATTACACTGGTTAATTGTTGTCACTGTTAGAAAGTTTCTCCTTAATTCCAGATTGCTGCTTTCTTTGATTAGTTTCCATCCATTGTTTCTTGTCTTTATTTGTTGACACTGACATTGAAAACTCCCATACATATAAATTGCTTTATCTGATACTAACTACCAGCTACTGCTGTAATTCAGACTCCCCCCCCCTCTTTTTGAAGTCTTATGTTTAGTTTAGATACTTACATTTCTAAATCCTTCCCACTCAGAACAGCAGTCTGCTAACCCAACTATGGTGTTTTTTTTACCCAGACGTAGAATTCACTGCCACAAACCATGTATAATGCAGCTACGAGCACGTTCTACACACCGGTAATAAGGATTATTCCAAAAAACATGCTGCTTTTCAGTATATGTCTCTATGCCTTAGAGCAGCAGCTCCCAACCTTTTCTATACCTCGCACCCCTAGTACACTTCTGATATATTCTCACACCCATTACAAAAGTTCAAAATAACGACAACAGATTATGCATATACACTATAATTTTGAAAACCGAAGTTTTTGCACCCTCTGGAATGTGGTCTCACACCCCCAGGGATGGGAACCCCTGCCTTAGAACAACTTTTCTTCCTGACACTTGAATGCTTCCTTTCTGAAAGGCCCTAAAAAGTAAACCAAAAGGGTGGGATTAATTTTAATCTGACGCTTTATGCTTAAATTGTTTATTTTATGAACCATTGCCTGTATATAAATATGGTTAAATATATTTTAAAGAGGCTGAAGAGCCCAGAAAATATCTTCAAAAGGATTTTGAGATTAAAAAATGAATCCGACAGTTTCCAAACACTTGCTTTTATAGATGATTAGTTGCCTCAGCATATGTCAGCCATGAAGCCAGAGAAAACCTACACCTGCACTTCTGGATTAATGACAATGATATGAAATGGCACAATAAAACTAAAGCTGAGAGTTAACATTTGTTAACCAAAGCAAAGTTTCTGCAGGTACTCTTCTGTGTTCCTTTGGCCTGTAATAAACCAGCTATTGTCCCTATTATTCCTCTCCCTGCATTCTATGATGACAATATAGGTAGTCCTCACTTAGAACCACAACTGAGCCCAAAATTCTGTTGCTAAGGAAGACATTTGTTAAGTGACTTTTGTCCCATTTTATGAACTTTCTTGCCACATCTGTTAAGTTATAACATGGTTGTTAAGTGAATCTGATTTTCCCATTGATTTTGCTTATCAGAAGGCTGCAAAAGGTGATCACATGACCCCAGGACACTGCAAATGTCATAAACATGGACCAGTTGCCAAACATCTGAATTTTAATCACGTGACCCTGGGGATGCTCCAAAAGTCATAAGTGTGAAAAACAGTCATAAGTCACTTTTTCAGTGCTGTTATAACTTTGAACAGTCACTAAATGAAGTGTTGTAAGTCAAGGACTACCTATAGCTGCCCTTGCTTCTCCACATTTCTCCATCCTTTCAGACACATAATCTCTTCATCAAACAATGAATCAGCAAACACCTACAGGCAAACAAAGTCATTACTAAAAGCCAACATGGGTTTGTCAAAAACAGATCATGCCAGACAAATCTTATTGCATTCTTTGACCAAGTGACAAAATTAGTGGACCAGAAGAATGCTGTGGATATAATTTACTTGGACTTCAGTAAGGTATTTGACAAGGAAGATCACAACCTACTACTTGGTAAGATAGAAAAATGTGGGTTAGACAGCATCACCACCAGATGGATCCGTAGCTGGCTGACCGGCCGTACTCAGCGGGTGGTCCTCAATGGAACCACATCTACATGTAGGGAAGTGTGTAGTGGGGTTCCCCAGGGTTCTGTTCTGGGCCCAGTGCTCTTCAACATCTTCATCAACGATCTGGTCGAGGAGATAGATGGGGAACTCATCAAATTTGCAGACGACACCAAGCTGGCAGGAATAGCCAACAGTCCAGAAGACAGGCTTAGGATACAGGAGGATCTGGACAGACTTGAACACTGGGTGCTATCTAACAAAATGAAATTCAATGTTGAAAAAAGTAAGGTTCTATATTTAGGCAAGAAAATGTACAGGTATAGTATACGGGGTACCTTGCTCAGTAGTAGTAACTGTGAGAGGGATCTCGGAGTCCTAGTGGACAATCATTTGAATATGAGCCAGCAGTGTGCTGCAGCTGCCAAAAAAGCCAACACAGTGCTAGGCTGCATTAACAGAGGGATAGAATCAAGATCATGTGAAGTATTAATACCACTTTACAATGCCTTGGTAAGGCCACACTTGGAATATTGCATCCAGTTTTGGTCACCACGATGTAAAAAAGATGTTGAGACTCTGGAAAGAGTGCAGAGAAGAGCAACAAAGATGATTAGGGGACTGGAGGCTAAAACATATAGGGAACGGTTGATGAAATTGGGTATGTCTAGTTTAACGAAGAGAAGGATGAGGGGGGACATGATATCTCAGGGGCTGCCACAATGAAGAGGGAGTCAAGCTATTTTCCAAAGCACCTGAAGGCAGGACAAGAAGCAACGGGTGGAAACGAACCAAAGAGAGAAGCAACCTAGAACTAAGGAGAAACTTCCTGACAGTGAGAACAATTAACCAGTGGAACAACCTGCCTCTAGAAGCGGTGAATGCTCCAACGCTGGAAGTTTTTAAGAAGAGACTGGACAGCCATTTGTCTGAAATGGTATAGGGTTTCCTGCCTGAGCAGGGAGTTGGACTAGATGACCTCCAAGGTCCCTTCTAACTTTATCATCATCATCATCATCATCATCATCATGATAAGGACACAAAACAGTTTCTTCCTCATACAGAGAGGCCCCCCCATCCCCAAAGCAAGATCCCCAAAGCTACCAGAGAGACTCCCTTTGAAGCATCACTGGCTGTTACAAGGTAGTATCCCAGAATGCTAGTGCTGCAAGGCCAATTTGGATAATCTGACCAGAGGCTCCTACTTGAAGGAACCAAATTAGACCTGGGTTGGTATAAAAGATAGATCATTCTAGCACTGTCATAGGTAAAAAAAAAGTCTTGCATTCCCCAATTTGGGAAAAATCTTTAGACTTTCCTCATGTCCATTTCATTAGCCAAAAAGGAAACAGTAAAATGTATGAAGATTAAGAATTTAACTTGGATGTAGTATATAGGAGTAATTGTTCCAGTCAAAGTAAAATATCTCTTTGTTAAAATGCTATTTTTGGCAGCAGTAGAGGAATTAAAATGAAGAGTTGCTTCGAAATGAGATGGGCAGTAAATAAATCTAATAAATAAAATAAAAATAAAATACAACAAAATGAAGGAGAATAATCAAAGAACTGGATTTTTAGTTCTCCTGGTAGAAAAAGGAAGACAACACTTTCAGAATGCATGCCTTGAAAAACAGGCAGAGTGATATCGACTTAAGAACAATCAAAGTCAGCGTAATTAAAATGAATTTCAAATAAAATGTAGACAATTTTTGTTATATGTTTATTTGGCTTTTATACAGTGATCAGAATATTTTTTGCCAATCAAGTATCTAAATCTATTCTCCTGTTTTATATTTCCACTCCCAGGAGGTCTTACTGGCACAAATTACTAGATCACATCAATATAAGATCTTCAACCATTGTATGTAAAAGCCTTTTGGAGACAACTCATGACAAGCCCTTGCTCCAACACTTGACTAAAAACAGATGAGCACAGTGTATTAGGTTCAGGAATTCATTCTTGAGAGCACAACAAAGGGAATGCTCCCTCTAATAAGGCTGGGGAGACATTTTTATTCTAGAGAAATTTTTAGCCCTGTGAGTCATATTTTGGTGGAGAACAGAGAGAAAACTGAAAATAGATTCCTCCCTCTACTTCTTAATATAAAAATCAAAACGGCATTAAGGACCACTATTTATCATTTAAATAAAAGCATATTGATATACAGCATATATTTTGCAGACCATACAAATCTACCATACTATCACAGAAAGGAAAAGGAATTTTTATTCAGTTCCTCACCAATGCAACTCCAGGGCCTCTTTTCCTGGTCAGGCACCTTATTATTTCAGAACTTATTGCATTCTGCATTTTTATACTTTGGATGAAACATATACATATTGTTAGTCAATTACATATCTGTAATATAGAGACATCTACTTAATTAGTCAAGTCTTTGCAATTAATTTTTCCAATTCCCATAATTCTCAGCCAGGGTGTGATTGTATTCCAAAGCCTGAGGCTGGCAAACTATGTTCTATATCATAGAAATGGAACTTGAGGATAAAGTCAAACAAAAGACAAAAAAAAAAAAGTTAAGAGACTTTCCAGACATTTAGAAAGCTTTTCTTTAAGTGATTTATTGTTGTTGTTTGTTTACTTTCCATTCTTGTTCAGACTGGTAAAGACAAGGGAGGAAATTCAGAGGTTTTTTTTGCCACTTTTATTTTCCGAATCCAGACAAAGCTGGTTTTCCCACATAGTTTAAGATTTAAATCGACAAACTTCTTTTTAGATCATAAGAAGCTGAAGTCAAGCCAAAACAGCTT